GCAAAATATTCTTACGTTTTTTTCTTGTTCTTTTAGTGAGATTGTTAAGTTTACTTAGGACAAAAACAATAACCGTTGAAAATCGCCCACCGTTATCACGTGATATGTTGCAATTTCGGTAATTATGGTAAAACTGTGGGAATATTTTGAATGATAACATTAAACGAATACGATAAGCCTAATCATAGTGAGTAAGATCGGATACTAACGGAGTCAATCGAGAGGAGAAAGTTTAATCTGGAGATGAATGACATTTTGTAGTCTTATGTCCCTAGTAATTAGTAATTACGGATATTTGCTTGTGGTGTACCTGATGATTAAGTCGGCAAAAAACGGTTTTTTTTGGTGGGGGGGATAAATTACTAATTGCTTAGGTAAGCCCCTGTTCTTTGATTGTAGAATTTTTAGGATTTAAAGACAAAGGATTGCGATGTTCTATTTAAGGCGTTTAACTTATAATAAAATAAAGAGAAACAAATAATTAAATTTAATTTCCACAGTTTCATGTTTATTAGAACATGGAAGTAGAATAAGAAGAAGAAGAAGTAGGAAGGGTACCATTTGTTAAATTAAATGCTTTTTCTCTTTTGGAAATCGAATAATACAAAAAAAAAGAAATTTTCAATTAAATTAATTTTATTGCGAATTTTTCAAAAAAAAAATTTTTTTTTTTTTTTAAGAGTTCCTGATTCTTTGTTTTATATTTATTAACCCATCAAATTAACCACCCCATCACCACCCCATCAGAAAAACCCCTAAGAAATCAATTTCCCTTCTTTTCATTTAGAGATAAGTTGGAATAAAAAGAATTTAGTTCCTTCTCTTTCCAACGCTCGATCCATATTAAATTCGGGAGAGTAATCTTTTACTGTCCTTTTATATCAATATTCTTCAGTCACAATCCAAAATCCTCAATTCTAAAGGGTAGATATCCGTTATCTTGATTCGGAATTTTTCAAATATTAATATTCTAGGCATTTCATCCCTTATCCTTTATAGATATACACCAGCATCCAAGTACAAAACAAGTCGAGGAGAGACCTTTTTTTCCCTATTCCAATAGCATAATCAACTAGCATTCTTCATTACTAAGCCAAAACCCCTTAGCATATATACAAAAATAAAACATTGAATGGGACTTTTATCATTAGGTACACCTTTAGATTGGCATCAATCCAAACAATACAATGATCATGTGCGATACAATGGTATCACCCAATTAATTAACATCTTCAAACAACATTCAAATACTCGTACCAATGATAAATTCTTATGGGGAGATGAAGTTGAATATATGATGGTTGATATTGATCGAGCAAATAAAACTGCAAGATTATCAATCGATAAAGATTATATATTGGATGATTTAAATGATATGAATAAATCATTATATAAAGCCTTACAAAATAATGTCAGTTTCCATCCTGAATATGGTAGGTTTATGTTGGAAGCAACTCCAGCAAAACCTTATGATGGAGATGAATTACTGGATTATGTATATGTTGAAACTAATATGAAATTCCGTAGACAAATCTCAGAAGCAGAATTACCGGAAAATGTCAAACCTTTAACAATTACAAGTTACCCATTAATGGGAATTGGGAATTTCACATCTCCAATTGCAAAACCAATTGGACCAGCATCTCAATCATTATTTTTACCTGATGAAATCATCAATCGTCATGCAAGATTCCCTACTTTGACTGCAAATATTAGAAAAAGAAGAGGTCATAAAGTTGCAATTAATTTACCAATGTATCCTGATAAATACACAAAATTATTAGATGATACGATTCCATTACATCGTGATTTATTCAAAAGTGATAAAGAACCAAGATTGGGTGCCAGTAAACCGGGACATGTCTATATGGATTCAATGGGGTTCGGAATGGGAGCAAGTTGTTTACAAATCACCATGCAAACTAAAGATATAAATGAAGCTAGATATCTTTATGATACATTAGTGTCAATCTCACCAATTATGTTGAGTTTAAGTGCCGCTGCCCCGATTTTTAAAGGATTCTTGGTTAATCAAGATGTTAGATGGAATGTCGTAAGTGGAGCAGTTGATGATAGAACTTTTATTGAACGAGATGTGGTTCCATATTTAGGATATTCAATTACAGGAGGATTAGATGTTGATTCCGATATTCAAAAAATTAATAATTTTACCTATAAACAAACAAATGAATTTGGAGAATATATTAATCTTTTCACGAAATCAGGGAAACTGATTCAAAAAATGGCTAAATCAAGATATGATTCCGTTGCCAATTATTTAAGTGATTCAAATTATTCCACGAATTATTATAATCCAAAATATAATGATTTAGGTTCTCCCATGAATAAACCTGTATATGATAGATTAATGTCCCATCCGTTATTTGATCATGAAATGGCAAGACATTTCGCCTATTTATTCATTCGTGACCCATTGGTGATTTTTAATGAACGTATTGATCAAAATAATGAACTTGAAAATGATCATTTTGAAAATATTCAACTGACAAATTGGCAAACTTTAAGATTTAAACCTCCGGCATTATATGATGAATCAGAAGTTGATATTAATAAAACTCCTGGTTGGAGAGTTGAATTTAGACCAATGGAGATTCAAATCACTGATTTTGAAAATGCGGCATATTCGATCTTTTTAGCATTGTTATCAAAAGCAATTATCAAATTCACCCCGAATTTTTATATTCCATTACTGAAAGTAGATGAAAATATGTTGAGTGCACATAAAGTAGATTCTGTCCTTAATGATAAATTTTGGTTTAAATCATTTGAGAATTGGAATTTGGATCATCATGAATTTATGGGATATGATTTCTCTTGGTTTGAACGATATTGTTGTGATGGAAATGATGGATTAGCTGATGGTCAAGTATATCTTAATGGATATAATTCCAATGGATCTCTGATTTCAATGATGATGCCCAATGGGAATTCCAAGAGAAGAAAAAGTTCGAATGGCAGTAGTATAAGTATTGATGAAGAACAGCAACTTCCACTCGATTATAAACAATATTCAATTGATGAAATAATTAATGGAACATCCAAATTCCCCGGGTTAATTAGATTAGTTATAAAAGTCCTTGCCGAAGATTTCTTACCTCAATATCATTGCGATTCACCAGAGTTACACAAGAATTTAATTAGAATTAAACATTATTTATTATTAATTTCTGGTAGGGCCAAGGGAACAATTCCAACTACAGCTCATTGGATTAGACATAAAGTATTACAACATCGTGAATATAAACAAGATTCTAAAATTAATCAAGAAATTAATTTTGATATTTTGAATGATGTTTTCAAGATAAATGAAATGAATGATCGAAAATTGAATGAACAATTATTAGGTGAGGTTATTACTGATTATTTATTTGGTGAAAGTCAATTGGATGGTTAGACAATTAATATTTAATATACTTATATATTTTTATATCACATTATATTACATTTGTATTCTTAAACGTTCTTAATAAATTATTAATAATATTATAATATGCCTTTGAACCGATAGAGAAGATGTCTTTCTCTCTTACTTTCTGGGTTTCTTAATTTCTTTGATGGAAGACCATGCGGTCACAATCTCTACTGAAATATTATTTGAGCCTGCTTTGTCCATAAAAGTATAATTTGGTAGCACCGTCTCTTTTGACCATGTAGAAAAGACTACAACATAGACAAATATCTAGTATTTAGTGGTTCTAAGAAAGCAATATTAAAGACGTGGTCAAGAAGAGCAACTTGTACACTATTAGGAAGTTTACCTGAATCCAAGTTTACTTTGATGGCATTCCATTTGTTTACAATAGATCCTTATAATTATGTACCCTCATCCTTACCAGAATTTGGTAGCACCACTTCTTTCGCCTGGTTGTGAAATCCAGATTTGACAATAACCCTATTCTAATGAAAATGGAACACAACATGTAGGTCGCGATGCGGGAAATGTACCACATAAGCTTGGAATGGTGGGTCTATTATAAAAGTAGAGTGTGAGTGGGTGCTTTGTTACTACAAAAGTAACGCGTATTAATTGCTATGGTTTTGTTAGATTGGTATAAGTTCCATTAAATGATTCTAGAACAAAAAAAAAATACAAATGACAAAATTGAAATTATTATGTTACATAAAATCTAATGAATATTTAACTAACAAATGAATAAATGTCTCTTATAGTTTCATAAAAATTTCACAATGTGACATTGAAAATATCATATACCTTTTGAGATCATGGCAAAGCAAAGCAAGTTGGTGGTACTAGGTTAATGGGGGTCGTGTAAATCAGTATTTATTAATTTATTTATAACTAAATTGAAACACGTTAAAAATTTCAATTGTTAAACTTCAGCCTCAATATTACAATTTTATATTTATTTTTTATTTTTTCTATTCTCTCTCTTTCTTCTTTTGAATTTCCAACTCAAAAAAAAATTCTCGAGTCTTTTTTTAGAACGTAAATTACTTTCCCACATATCCATTAAGACAACTATCGTATAATACAGACAAACACACAAACAGACAGACATACACAAGATGGGATTCTTAGATAATATAAAATCGTTCGTTCATTCAATAACAACTGATGATCATTATGCTTCTTATTCTTATAATAATAATAAGAATAATACTACCAATCCTTCATCATCTTCTCATACTTCAAATTTAGGTTCAAATCAAGTTATGATTGGTGGTTTATCAAATAGTTCAAATTCTCATTTAAACCGAACTCATACTCATCATAGCAATAATTCAAATCATTCTTTGGTTATTGGTTATAAACCAGGTTTAAGATCTTCTTCAAATCATGATTTACCAATGACCACATTTGATGAAAATGGTCAACCTCCATTACCTTCAATAGATTCATTATGGGATAGAATTGAAAATTGGATAGAATTAGAATATCCTGAATTAGAAGATAATTTAAATGATGGGGTTACTACTCGTGATTTAAATGAATTTGAAAATGATTTACGTATTGGTGAATTACCTACTGAATTTAGACAATTCTTTAAAAGGCATGATGGTCAATTAGCAGGTGGGAAACCAACTGGTTTAATCATGGGAATGGAATTATTGGATTTAGAAGGTATTGTCACTGAATGTATGCTTTGGCAGAAAGTTGCTGATAGATTAGAAAAACAACAATATATTTTACAACATCAACGACAACAACAACAAATGCAAAAACAATCATCATCATCATCCCCAGAACCAGGAGCAAGTTCTTCTGCATATCCCGCTACTCCATCCCAATTAAATAACACATTTATCTCCAATCAAAGATCCATTCCTCCAAATTCAATCCAACCGGTATATTATCACAAAGGTTGGCTTGTATTACTAAAAGATAACATTGGTAATCAAATCGCCATGGACCTTGCTCCCGGTCCACAAGGTAAATGGGGACAAATAATCATATTTGGAAGAGATTTCGATACAAAATTAGTCATTGCCAACAATTTACAAGAATTTTTATTTCAATATGTAAATGATTTAGAATTAGGTAATTATCAAATTGATTCACAACAAGTTGAAGAAGATTTAGGCTTTTTATCCCGGGATAGAAATGATGATTATATGATTGGTGATGAAGATGAAGGCCAAGGTGAATTATGGTTTTTTGATCGTGATGCCAAAGAGTTTGGTAAAGGAGTTATTAGAGGAAATATGTCATATTTGGAAATTTTAAAAAGAAGAGCCTTGAAAAAATATGGTTTGGGTGAAAATTATCTGACTCAATTTATTCCTCAAAGAATAAAACCAACTACTTCTGCAGGTAGTTTGAAACCAAGTGGAAGTAGTAGTACTAGTAGCAATGGAGGTAATGTTGTTTTGAATCAATCGAGAAATTCTTCAAGTAGTAATTTAAAACCAGCTAATAATAAGCCAATGAAATCTAGTCCTTTGGTGAATCTTGATTCTAGTTCTTCTCAATTTGAAATCCCAAAGGAAACTATTATAGATAACAAAGAATCCCTTGAAGAGAAAAAAGATACACAAGAAGAACAAGTATTGCCAGTGACAGAAACTAACAAGGAAGAAGAACCAAAAAAAGACATTCAAGAATCTAATCCAGAAGAAACTCAGCAAGAAGTAAACGAATTAGAAGGAAAGCTTGCTCAAATTGATCTTGATAAACCAGAACAAGTCCCTGAGATAAGTCTCGCAGAAGACGAAGCGGTAAAAACAAATGAAAACGTTGAAAATTGAGTTCTTCTAAAATGGTTGTAGATATATAGAGTGAGAATGAGCTTATTTAGTTACAGTAGATTTTGTATACCCCAAACGGATATTATTATAATTTATAAAAAAACTTTCTTAATTATTTTGACCTATACACTGGGTTGGGACTTGTATGACGTCTTACAGAAATAGAGTGTAGTGCAAGTATTTGTTTGAATAAATTCCCGTATAAAAACGGACACGATCAGCTTTGCTATATAAAATTTTGCCCATGTAGAGTCCTTCCTCAATTTATACAGTTTTGCCATATAAAATATGATAATATTAAATTGTACTCAAAAGAACATTATTACTCATTTTGCGGCTGGTCCCAGAAGTTGGTCTGAGGGTTCTGTTTACTGACCTTCTTCTACCATACAATAGTTTGTCAGTACCTCACCTGGAAGATCTTGGTTTCATAGCGAAGTAAGCCCCCTGTCTTTAGGATGCTCTCTACTCAAAGAAACGTTCAACTAAATGAATAATTACATAAAACAAGAGAAAGCAGGTTTTCACAATGTGCCTAAAGTTCACTCATAAAAAGAGTAAGCTGGAACGGTAACCTGCGGGCCATTCCGTTAAACCAGAACCCGGTCTTGATTCCTTGAGTTCTTGTATGTAGACCCATAACTTGTCCCCGGATCAGAACTTCCTTCTATATCTAATGGAAGGATCGAGATAGAACATATGTGTTTCACTAAATTATAATTACTCCACTTGAGAACGAGATTAAAAGAGCAAAACCACTAAAACTTAGAATGAAGGTCTATTTCTAGTTCTGAAAGAGGATTTGCAGTCAATACACTTTTCGAAGAGGTTGAATGAGTCAGTAGAAAAGCAGCCAATATCAAGCAAGTTGTACAACTAATGCATCTTCTAAAAATAACTTAAAACAAAGGGAGTTCCACCCTTTCAACTCATTTACACTTGCTTGAAACAATGGTCAATTCAAATCGGAATGAGCGAAACACATTTTTGGGTATCGATAAGCTTTGGAACGATCTCTTCTGGAATTCCGGGATTTCCTCTTCTTCTAATATTGTGACAATTGATTTACTTGGTGTCGTAACTTCTTTGATGGTCTAAAAAATAATTGTTGCAGAATATTTTTTATGCACACTCATGCATGATCTAAAAGAAATAAGATTTGCAATTATTTACAGTCAGTATCGCCACCTACAATATTTTCAGAATAGATAACTATTGCATTTTTTTTAGAGCTGACCTAACTTTTGAAAATTATTACCAGTAGGATATAGTCTTGAAACCAGACTATGTAAATGATAAAAGGTGATCCTATCAAAAAACAAGTGACCAACATTTTCGAAGAAATTCGTCCAGAAATTCTCAAATACGCAGTATTATACTCCGGGGGATTACTTAATAACCTCACAATAGAAATATACTTAATTAATGCTTTTGAAAGTTATGATACTAAAAGTACAAAGTGTCCCTCTATTTGTCCAACTTTCGTTTGTTTGATCCCGCATCCTGGTCTTTTCGCAAACTTATTGATTCAAGAGATTCAGAAAACAATCTTATACTTAACTAAGAAATGGAATTTGGAGCTCGGTTACTCGGAAGTTTGTGTGTGTGAGATCCTTATTTATGGCCATGCAAAAACAAGTACACTGTATAAATATATAAATGTACTTTAGACATAGTATATTCTTTGACTGTGATGGAAAAAACTGATTAAATAAACGAGCACAAGCGCACCTTGTGTGTGTTGAATAAACCTTTCACATACTGAGAATCAATCTGCCATCAGGTACCTGCCCTTAAAAAGGGGATATTAATTACTATCGATACATCACTGATTTATTTATCAGAAAATGTTTCATTCCTGGGAAAGGTTTTTTACTATTAGAATCCTTTTAATTTATTTCGTCTGGAAATAATCCCTGTTATTCAGTATCATCACTTAAGAAACAAAAACTACTCCACTTTATGGATGAACTTATCGGGTTTCTATCTAGGTCCATGCTGATTATCTACAGTATGATGCTTACGTGACCAATTGAACGCCTCGCTCTTGGCATATCATGGATCACGCCTTATGTTACCTGTTTAATCCTTGATCCTTGATTGAGAACTAATTCCGTCTAATTTTACGGTTTTGGTTAACTTTAAAACTGAAAGAAGAATAGAAATTTTAAAAATAAATAGGCCCATATCCCTTTTATATTTTCGAGTTTATTAAAGACGGTAGCATTCTCGTAAGTTAGGTTTCTAATAATTCGTTAACAAAATTGGTTTCCTAGAATCGAAATTATAATATTGTTCTTGTTGTTTATCAAATTCAAAAAAAATTTTTTTTTGGTATTGCTGCAAAAACAAGCTTTTATTTTTGTTCTGATATTGGAGGTAGTGTCGACGTACGAAAAGTTTAAGAGGTTGTTAACGAAAAGTAGGTCATCATTCAATTGATAAAGTTTCTAACACTGCATAAAGTTTAAAATAGAAAATATGGCAGCTGCAGTTTAAATGTTTAATTATTACAAATAGATATTATTAAAATATAATATAGAAAAAAGCTTAATGGTATAAATTATATTTCTGTTCGGTTGGAAAAGTATCATAACCCAAATGTTTAAAACTTATACTTTTTTTTTTGATTTAGAGTAAACATGACCCTTACTGTCAACGGAGAACCTTTTGAGTTTAAGTGTTCCAATGACTATTAGATACTTCATCAAATGGGAGTCACATAAATGTCTTTCCGAAGCTTATCCCTATATTGTTCATCACTCAGTAGATTGAGCGAAAGAATGAACCGATTTCTAATCTTTGGTTGAGCTTTTCGTCAGTATTTTGAAGAATGTTTTTTTTTTTTGAGAGAATGGGCAATTGAAAACACTTCACGGATTGTTATAATGTAACTCAATGAAAGAGGAAGTTGGTGAGAAGTATTTAATGAAATCTGAATTTTTTTTTTTGTTTAGAGTTATTAAACGAATTGCTATCGTGAATCTTACATGTAAATGACATAAATATGTGACGAGAAGAACCTTAAAAGGTTATTTAAGAGATTAAACTTACATGTAATGTGAAATTAAAGTATTTGAAGAGACAATGTCTTTCACTAGCTTAGTGTCCTCTTTACCAAAAAGGAATGAAGTTTAACCTTAGTTCATTTGGACATCCATTATTGGTACCGATTGTTTAAATAATAACTTGTATAATGTTGATATTTCAATATAATACAAGAATAAGGCAATGACTTAACCTTTGTGGGTACATTTGATCACACGACAGCTACAGGAAAATCAAAACAAAAAAGCTTCCCTTCACTTTTCCGCTGTATAATAAATTCATTTAAAAAAAAGTTCAGTTAAATATGAAAAAATGGAAAGCGAAGGACAAATTTAAGAACAAAGTTTCGTGATATTTTACAAGTTCTTCTTCCCTAACATACGAGATCATCATTCTATTATATCGAAACTGTATTTTCATAGTGGATGCCTTACTCCCTGCAATATTTGTTCTAAAAAGCATGATCCTTTTGTTTTTAATTGTAAAGTTTATTCACTGACCAGAAAGCAATAGGTCGAAACTGGAGGTCAACAAACTTTGCACAGCATTCCCAAAATTGTTCTGAGCTATCGGGCCCAATATTTGTTCTACATAACCTGAGTGCCTATGCTGGTTGTGAGTATTCGTCCAGGTATATGAAATATCCTAAGAATTGATGGCGATTGATACGAAGGGTACGGAGTAGATTTTGTGACGGAACCCTAAGGAGAAGATATTGGCAACGAAGATCAAGGAGAAGGTTTTGAATCGAATCAAGATTTTACATTTTGTCAAGATAAAATTAAGAATAAGCTTTAGGTTAAGTGACCAGTCAATTATGCTTTTACATTTTGCTAAAGTTGATCACCTGTTGTACTGACGTAGCTGACCATACATATAATACATGCTTGAGTATTTTCAATATAAAAAGGGCTGAAATGGTTCAAATATTCATTTGAATTGTAGGAGAACTATTCATGCACCATTATAGAACAACAGTAAACAAATATGTGCTTAATATTTATATTTATTTTTGTGTTGCTTCAACAGATTGCTTGCCTGCCGCTATTCTTACATATTGCAGAGCAAGGAGAAATTAATGCTGGTCAAAGATGTGTTGGTACGTCGCGAATTTGTTCGGTGGATACTCCATTGAATCCTGTCGATAATCATGAATTTGCAGAAAGCTACTTATCGGACAGCAAACTAACAAAACGCGAGAATGCAGGTCTTACCCAAGTTACATCAAGCTTTGGTTTCTACTTGACCGTCCTAGATAGCGATGGGCTTACCCGTTATCTTGATTGTGGTCAATACCCATGCAGACTCAGAAGGACAGACTCTACAGCCAGCGTATTTACATTGCAAGACGGTCATTTGTTATTGGGTGCAATCCAAATTGGTCTTGCAAGTCACTTATGTGTCGGAGGAGCAAAACCAATTTCTTGGACGATGCTGCAGGATATGACTAAGCTCATTCCTGATTCGCCCTTGTATATGTGCGACAACGACGATACGATATATGACAGTAGTTGGCACGGTTGTCTGCCCATTCAATACTTGAATGTGATAAAATCCAATCCTGAACCTGAACCAACCACTGAACCAGAACCAGTTGTTCCAACTGAACCAACCACTGAACCAGAACCAGT